CCCCCACCAACCTCACAAACAGAATTGGTTTGCTCAATCGCATCAGACGGTGTCAAAAAGATCGTGTATTCATTTCGAGGCTTTTATCTTGTTGGGAGTTGTATCCCTAAGACAAGCACATGCAAATTATGGCATGTAGGCCACGTACCCCACTTTTCTTTAAATCACCTCTTTGCTCATCTTTATGACATAAAAAAATATTATCGATCATCATCATCATCATCATCATCATCCAGTGTCAGATCTGCGACAGACATCGTCGATCATGGTTCTCCATTCATTCCTTCGCTCGGATGCTCTAAAAAAAATAAAAAAAGCTACGTGTCCCTGATTTTTCCCTGTTACCCATTTGTTTAGGTTCCCGAAGTGTATGTTGTTCTGGGCCTACCCCTGCCTCGCTTGCCCTCAATTTTGCCCGTGAGAGCTAGATGTCCAAGACCCTTATGTCTATTTAGGTGTCCCAAAAAACTGCATTTGTCGTTTCCAGATTGTTTTTAACATTGAGCGTCCCACGTTATCGATCAAAGATAGAAATAAATGGTTTTTACATAATATAACCTATGTCCCAACACGCAGGAACGTTTGTCAACTTGAGCTGATGATAATGGCATCGAATGCACCGTTCAGTTAGTCAAGGGGTTTACCTTGCAGCTGTGTGAGTGTGAGTCTTTCATTGGGGGGTTACCTGGTAGTTCAGAACTACTTGTAGGATGATACATGTATTTTCAGAAACCAGAAGGATACATTTTTTTTTCTGACAAGAACGCTCATACCTGAGGGAAAAGCTTCCCCGCCCCAACCGCATTTTGAGCTACTGATAACTGGGCCAGATTGGTACAAACACATTATAATTATCTAATTATTATAAAAACAAAGGGAATGTTAATAAGCGTGGCGCCTGCTTGGTTTATTGATTTATGTGGATCGACTACACACTGCTCAACATAGCGCCATGTGGCGTGCTTAAAGTTAACGTGGCCAGGTGCAATCACCTTAATTGATTATCTGACTAACAGAAGCTACTCGGCTGTATTTTTAAACTTAACCTGAACATGAGAACATTCATGTTACATCTCTATAAAGTTAGTATTATGCAGATCATTGGGAAGGGCTACTTAGAGTGGATTTCCTTTTTATTATTACCAGAATGCACGCTAGTGCAATGATAGAGAGTATACCCCCATCGTATGGGTTTGCAATCGATAAGAATGTGTGGAGACACATTGGTTTGTAGCAGTTCAGCAAAGAGGTGAAAAGGCTTAATGAGGGGGACTAATTTCCACACGTTATGTTATGTCATTTGGTCAGATGAAAGTAACAACATTGCTGACTGAGTAAATCTTTAATTAACCTCAAACTTGAGTGTACTCCAAAATTGATGATAAAGTTAAAGAAACTAAATACAGTAACACGTATGACTACCATTTTTATAAGGCAACCATGTCGGGTTTAACAATATTTTAGGAATAATCCGACTTTCCCTTTAATACAGAAGTGTATTTGGCATTCATCTGAGACCGTAGCGAATTTCATGGCAATACTAAGACAAAAATATATAATTATATCTCTAAAGGTGCATGCTGTATAGCATGGCATCCACACACCATTCTTCTCTTAGTGAAAAAATAGACAATTACCACTTGTTGCTTCCACCGGTTTTCCATAGAGCTGGGTGTGAATAAGAAACCCAGGAAAGATTCCCTTCAATCAAGTTGCTGCTGTGAAAGTCGCTAGTTTGACGTTCTTCAAGACGCGGGAAAGTTCATTTTGAAGGACTGCGTTTTACAGGAACGACCCCCCCCCCCCCCCCCCAAACACACACACACAGTCTTGTTCCTTATTCTCTGAATTGAATTTCAAACTTCTGAACAAGCCAATTTAACTTTCATGTTGCCTATTCCTACATAATGTCTCAGCTTAGTCATGGCAGCCTATACAAGAAAGACATAGACACAAAAGTTGAGTCACCGGGGCTTAAAATGCGCTGTAAGAAATGGGTATTTTCAAGAGAAGGTTGAACATGACGAGGAAGTTTAAGTTTTGGATTTTACAAAGAGTCTGCGTGGGTGGGGTGGGGGTTTAAGACTCATGAAGCGATCCCACTCCCACAAGTATAAGCAATCAGCACGAATTAATATGAAACGAATAGAATCAACTGACTAAAGAATAAAAATATAGTTTCCCATTATAATCCTGCTCCTTAAAAAAAGAAGAAAATGATATTATTTACATTCTCAGATCGAATTAAAATGTATGCGTTTAACTCTTTGAAGACGCGACTTCTGGTCATTCGAACGCTTGAAGAAGCTTATTCATACAGGGTTTTTTTTTCTTCTGAAACTTCAAAAGGCAGGCAACAGCATAATATTAAAATAATAATAATAAGTATTATGAGTATTGGTAGGCCTACTATGAAAATTTGGGTTTCTGGTTTTTTGTATGTTAGTTCGAATGAAATATGCAACAACACTACCTTAGTTTGACCTGTTTCTGGTCAGACAGAATTTAATGTGTCCGCTACATCCTTAAAGAGTGGACTGACTCTAAACCACAGACACACTTGGTCTACTTTGTACGGCGCGAGATTTCTGGCGAGCTCAAGTCCGCGCACGCAAAGTCTGGCCAAAGCTCGGTCAATCGACCGTGCACGCGGGCTGTCCGTCGGTCAGTGGATTCGTTTACCAGGCCAAGTGTGAATAACCCAGGGTCAAGGTCAAAGGGTTGTATTCATTGTACAGTAATACACGAGTAGATCTAATGGGCTGGCGTCTGTATATAAGTTATACACAGAAGTTTCTGAACAACACCATAAGTGCGGGAGTCAAGCCAGCATATACCCATACCACATGCAACGCCGTTTCTTCGTTGCTTTTTATCAAATAAAACCAAGAAGAGCGCACATTGCAAACAATAATGGACAAAACACACACACACACACACAAAACACGTCATGACCATATAAGATTTATAAAGAGTGGCTTGTAGGCTACTAGGCCTAATCGTAAGGGGTGCATTTTTCTTTCGATGTTATCCATCCGACAACAAACAGAAATTAAATAGTAGATCTAGATCTATACCAGAAACTCGAGCAACATAATAAGTTACCGGTAGTTGTGAATTAGGTCCTACACTTTCTGATGCATAGGCTATATTCTGAGGTCGTTGATCTCAGATAACGTTTAATAAAATTGCACTTAGAGAGTAGATGATAAAAGCAAAGCTGCATATCCTTTAGGCCCCCATACATAATAACATAGGGCCAATAAAAATAATAATATGCAACATAGAATCAAGTCAAAAGGAAACAAAAGACACCTTGTAAAGAACAATAATACATACAATAGTATACTTTTGAGCACCGTATGGAGAGTTACGCGCTTCGAAGAGCATCAGTTACTGCTAGATCATGTATGAAGTTGAACCACACTGTCGTAAGGAGAATAGAGCTATGATTAAAAGCAAAGCAAATAAATTATAACACAACTTCTGGAACTGACCTGAGGAGGAACCGGTCCAAACACACAACGAGGGAGCAACGAGGCACAATTCAGGTCAGCAGACGAAAATTAAGTAACCGACGCTACTACCACCACCAGCAGTAGCGGTACGGACAGACGTACCGAACGGGAGGAATAACAACATAACAGCAGGAGTGGGCGGGGTTAACACGCCGGTGTACACAGCCGTAGAGGTAGAAAAGGGACAAGTGTGGCCGCAGTTAGAGCTTCTTCAGAATCATCATAACTGAATATGTCATTGTTATTATTGTTATTTATCACTCATGAAGTTCAGAACAGAAATGTACATTGAATTCACACAGAAAACAGAAACTTGCAAAAGCAATTGGGTGACAGTGCGAACAGTCACGGGATGGCAGTGCTCTATGATCGTGGACTCGACCAATACCTTGTGCTCTTATATGCATGTGACATTGTAATGTCTAAAGCCGCAGGAGGGATTTCCCAGTTAATTAAATCCTTGTCTGGTAGATTCACCCCCCTTCGGTTCTGCCGAACTATGATGAGTGAGGCGTTACAGAGTGGTGTCAACGAGGTTATAAATACAGTTATACTAGGATCCTTGAGTGGTGTCCACTTAAAAGCAACCCAGATAAGAGCAATCTCCGCCTACACAGGGCAAAAAGAGCAATAAAAGCAAAACAACACAACCCCCCCCCCCAACAAAACAAAACCTGAGGATTTTAAAAAACAGCGTGAACACCGAGGCTGACCTATGCGCTCTTACTGTCTGATCGTCTGGCTGTCCCCGTGGTTTTATGCACCCAGCATAATTTAACAAAAATTTAATCATTTTTTTGCTTAATTTCTGATTATTTTTCTTTACCATTCTTAGTTAAAATTAACAGAATCGCATAACTTCCCATTTTTGGGCTCAGTTTGCACAATTTCAGATTTTTTGTTGTTGCATAGAACCGCGGGGACAGGTCTAGAGGTGGACTCATAACTTGAGTGTGCGTGGGTGCGTGCATCCCTCCTTCCTTGTTTATATTCATCTCCTCACAACACCTGCCCAGGCGAAAAATACACCCTGCTGAGCATAGGAACTCAGATCACATTATATCACGAAGGGTAACCTTCCTCCAAAATCTCTCCCAGAGAAGACAGTCTTGGCCATTGAGCATAGCATTACCGCCCACAGACAGAGCATCGGTTCATTAACGGTGCCTCCTATGTTCTCACTTTCCGACTTAACATACCATATCATTCGATTGATAAGGACTCGTACGTTTGTTTCTATTCTAATTAACTTTTTTCCGGTGGTCATCGAGTTTTGGACACCCAGAATTAGTAGGCCCTACGTGTGTCAGCATGTGTACATGCGTGTGTTTGTATTCGTGTGAGAGGGGTGTGGTGGGGACAGATCCCCCCCCCCCCCTTTTTGTGTACAGTCGCTCTGACTGACAATATACAAAGTAATACAAAACAGTTAATATTTGGATGTCTAGCCTTTTTAATGGTCTTTCAGTATATGTATTGAAATTATCAACCTTTAGCTATCAACCCATGCCACACCACCACCTAGCTCGACCACTGTTGTTAAATTGAAAGTAATGAAAGCTATTGTCTGTCGTGTTCGTAATTCTGTGGCCGCCAGTGGCTCACCTCCTGTTGCACCGCAGTTGAACTGATGGTCAGCAGAGCGAATCTGCGAGCCGGCTTCTCCTCGAGCTCCGCGGACAGGCTTGCGCGGGCTTTGGGCGCTTTTTGTTGGCCACACGTTATTCTGTGCTAAGTATTCTGCCTTTTTAAATACTTATAATATAGTATACAGCATGGATTGTGTTTTTCTCCTCTCCCTTTTCTACAATCTGTGTTACATTTTTGAAAAAACCTTTCTCGCTTGAAGA